TTGCTCTGAAATTTGTACACACTACTTTTAGATACATTATCTGAAGAATAGTAATGGATTTTTGCGATTACTGGATTAATTTTTTAATTAAATTTTTTTTAAGAATAGTACCCATCTGGAGAGCGGTCAGGGTGGCCAAACGTTTTAAGGAATAAATCCTCCTTCAAAAGCAACAGCAGTTTTTCCAGCTTCCCCACAATAAAAAAACCCCAAAAGAAAGTCCAACTATGAAGTACCCCTTCTCTGTATTATGAAGTGTCTTGTTTCTCCCATTGCCCACCGTACCCGAACAATCATTTATCCTTTCGCTAGGCGTCTCGCCTTCGCGTCCCAGTTGTCTCGCAAATCGTTTAATTATAAAACGCGTATAATTAACAATGTCTTCCCGGTCGCATTCACGCGATCCCTTATAGTCGGCCAGCGGATCCCCTCGCGCCCGAACGAGTCCATTTGAAACTTCTTAATTAACAAGCAGACTAATTTAAGGAGAGCTATATCCACCCACGGAACGCTCCCAATTTCCGCGCTTTCTGCCATAGAACAATTTGCATCTCTGCGGCGATGACGTATCGCGAATTTATAGCATTGTTTGTCGGAAAACGGTAAGAAGAACCAGATGCTATCGATAAACCGTCGTCTCTACCTTCGTCGTATATTCTCCGCGTTCCCTTTTCTTTCTCGCGACGATTTACGTCCCTTCGTCATGGCCGGAATGATACATATAATACAATAAATTATTCGAGTCTCGGTGGAAACTGTTGTCAACTACTGGAAACTGCGGCTAATTGTTTCATTAAATAATAGGAAATTATGTGCGAACAATGGTGAGTGTAGAGGTGATTGGGGAGCAAGTTGTCATGGTGTTTAATTTGCGGAGAATTACATTGTTTATATTTGGATTCAAAGTTGTAGAGATTTCTTAGTCAGGAGCGACTATGTTGGTTCTTTTTTAATTATCTAGGTTGGTTGATTTTTGTGGAAGATGAGATAGGTGTCAAAAGTAATAAAATCTGTACCTAATTTTTTTTTTGTGGCTTGAATATAATTTATGAAATTTTGGCAAAAATATTTCTAGTACACTTCACTGTTGTAGTTACTTCCTACATTTTTATTTCACAAATATAACTACAACACTGTGAGATACTCAAATTAATTACTCCCTTTGCAAAATGTTAAAAGTCGTACCATATTGATTAATTATACCACTGTAATAATTAAACTTGTACGATTGTATTTGCATAAACGTTCGCAGTCTAATCATAATGAACATATTCAAGTGTTTTCGACTAACTTCCTTGGTCTAGAAAGGAAATTTTTATGTTCAAATTTAAATGAAGTCAAGCATTAAAAATATTGTGTCTTAAATTTTTAAATATAAATTAAGCAGAGCGTTAGAAATATCGCGTATTAGATGTCAGCCTTCGGAACAAATTTACACAAATATTATTTCATTCTATACGAAGACAGTGAGACTCAAAGCAGACAATATTCGATTCGCTTACAGCGGTTTACAACGTCGAAAACAAGGGCTTGCTCTCACATACGTTACAGAATACGGCCACGAAACTTCTAGTTTGCATTAGAACGTTCAATACCAAGGTACCTGAAGTACCACGACGGCCATTAATAACCCAATGTCGTGATACGCGTTACAACTTCACTAAACGCATTCTCGGATCCGCAAGACCGCATTCTAGGGGATCAGTTGTCTCGTTCAAACAATGCTGGACACTCGTATTAATATTGATTGCACATTCCTGCCATAAGTGGTTAATCTATTTGCAAATGATTATGCACGTAGAAATGATATAATTAGCATATCTCACTGATTGTGATTCGATCATGCGACTTCCTTTTGCAAAGGGAACTTTGAGGAAGTTCACTCTTGTATGCATATGTTTGTTGAATTAGATTTAAAGAAACAATTTTGTTCGTTCAATTGTAATTCATGGAAGTGTCTACAATAAGTATGAATACTAAAACATCGAAAATAATAATTCAGAATTATTCGATTCAGAAAATTCAGATTAAAGAAAACAGATTTCTTCTCTCTGTTAGTTATTAATTATTATTATTGTTTCTTAATGAAATATTTTTGTTTTCCTTTGCTGTACTGCTAGTTTATTTATAATGAAGATATTCTATTTATACTTTTCTGAGAAGGGTCGTAGAAGTACTATCGAAACATTGATTACAACGTTTATGGAAATAAAGTAATGTCTGACTCGTTCTAAAGGCGAACTACTTGCTCCCATTACACCACTTCGAAAACAGCAATAAACATCGCAGAATTGGTTGATTTTTAAAGAGTTCTAATTCCTTATACGCATTAAAATTGTTACCATAATCGTTCATAATTAAGAAAGACAAAGTTAAAGGCCACAGTCTTAACCAAATGTCTAAGGACAACAACTTTCCGTAAGAATACTCGAAAATACTACGACATGTTCCGTTTATATCGTTTTACAATCGATAACCATGAAATCACGTTATCTACCCAGTGTCTCTTATCGCAACATAGTAGCGAACTTGAAGACAAATTGCATGAAACCATCGACCTATTCCGTTTCTAACGGAACCAAGAAACAAATGGCGATGGTGCGCGTATCAGCGCATTCCCATCGAATTTTCAGGAAGACGATTTCTCCTTTGGTTATCGGAATGTCTCCAAATCGAATGAATCAGAGACGAATACGTCACAGCGATCTTTATTTCTTTTTTAGGAAAAGAATCTTCAAATAGCTCTTGAACGAAACGTTTGCGA